AAAAAAAAAAAAAAAAAAAAAGTATAAATACTATCTCATCGTTTAACTAAAAATATAAAAATAATACTCTGAAACAACAAAGAACTCGTAGCACCACATGGTTAAGGGAACGGCTGAATAATTTACCCCTTTTTCGTTTTAGCACCGAAATTTACATTGTCTACGGTATTCTTGTACAGCTGCGACTGACGCTGAATCACCGTCTGCGGCGTGTTATAGTTATTGTACTGGTAGTTGTAGTTTCGCGGCGTTTGCGCGGTGACATAATTTTGATTCTGATAAGACTGGTCAGTGTCTAGCCCGTAATTTTGTTGCGGCTTGTCAGACTGATTCAAGGAACCGTCGTAATCTTGGTTATCCTGGGAAGACGAGGTCTCGTAATTATCGTACTCGTTCGTCTCGGTTTGATCCTTCTGGGGCTTCTCGATCGCGGTATACACCCCTGGGTTCAGAGATGGATACCTGATATTTTTCAACCGAGTCTTTGGGGTCTGAACGATGGGACTAGGCGTCTGTCCGACGTTCAACTTTTCGAGAATATTTTGCGGATTTAGGACGTAAGTGAGTCCAGTCTTAGCGATAATATTAGGGACCGATACGTAGCGCGTATCTTTGCTCCGATCGTTCTGGTCTTGGTTATCGTTCGTCGGAGTCGCAACGTGTTTGTTCGATTCCGATGCAGAGTATTCCGAGACCTGTTGCAAATTTTGCGCCAATACTTTCATCCAATTGCGGTTCATCAGCTCCTCCAACTGCTGAGCCTTTACGTAAGCCGCTGGCAGAGGATAGTCTGGGCCTACCGGTTGTCCAGCGACACTGATCACTCTGTAGGTCGTTTTCGGCAAGAAAAGTTTCTTTATCTGCAGGTCGCTCGTTTGTGCCAGCTGATTCTGCAAACTGGTCGCTTTATAAGTGCTCGATTGGCTATCGAGATCCTTCTGGTTCTCGGAAATGTAGTTCATTCCATCGACGAACTGACTTCCCTCGTTGCTTCTGTACCTCTTATCCCCGCTTTGTTTCTTACTCTTGCCGTTGGTTTCCGAGTCGGAATACGTATCGCTGTAATCGACAGCAGGCGGTGGCAACGGTGGCGAGGGAAATAGAGGCTGGCTGTAATAATTGGGGTAGTAATAGGGAGGTTGATAATAGTAGTTGGGATAAGAGGTAGAGTAATGTATCGGTGTGTAAGACGGTGGCGGTGGTACCGCGTACGGGGATGGATAAGGGTTATATACGTTGTAAGGCTCTACCGGATAACGGTAAGGATGGGAACCGTGAAACGCGTAACTGGATGACGCAGAAACCTTGGGATATGGGTGATAATTAGGATAATAAGGATCTCGAGGGTGATTTGCGTTAAAGCTGGTGCTGTAGGAGTCCTTAGCGTCAGCTTTGGGCGCGTCTAATTCCGAAGATAACTGCGTGACGCTCTCCTTCTCGGCTCCTCTCTTAATCAATTTAGGGCTGTAGGGGTAAATCGGATATATCGGTAGAAAGGGTTCGTTGTTTGGGTCGTTGCTCTTCCCGTATCCCTGAACGATAACCGCTAACGACACTAGGAAGAGTAGCTGGAATGCAAAGAGGATTAAATGGAGGTATCAGTTTGGCGGAAGAGTCGTACGACTTATCGGTTACGCGCTTATCGGAGAAAAATAAAAGGATATTTATACCAACCGGCAAGTCCATTACGATCTGCGTGGAGATCGCCTCTCGATAATTAAGCGAATTTGATCGGTGTATTCGTTCCTCCGCGCTATCTCATTCGCTGCTCTCGTTCACCGTTCACTGGCGTTGACCGGGATACCTGTGATCGAACAGATCGAATCGGCACGCCGGCGCGATGTCTAATGACGTATCGGCCGACATTGAATTTCTCCTTTATACTTGGCCGGCTGAAAAATCGCGAAAACTAGTTTAAGGTTTCTCTGCTCTTATATGTATGTAGATCTAGACGTGGTCGGTGCACGCCCGGTTCAGTGAAACCGGCTGTAGTAAAACTCCGCCCGATCTCGTTGCCAACGTATCGCACAGCTTGGCGAACTGGTCCAAGATGAAACGGGTGGGATAGATGCACGTCGTGACAGAGGAAATAAAGACGACGGCGAATCGAAGCGAAGCGTGAAAGCTCTTGTTCCTAGCGGACGAGATAAGCCCGTTTAGAGGAGCGGTAAGTAATTACCGCCATGATGTTCTCGTGGCTGCAGCAAATGACAGAGTAACGGAGAAACAGAGAGTGTCTCGTTTTGCACGCGATCCAGCAAAGACAATCGGATCAGTCTCTTTTGTTCAAGAGCAATTTGTTGGAAAGAACGCGGCGTGGTCGCGGAAGTAAGAAGTTTCACGATAGAATCCTCTTAGTTCCGGTCGCGCAACGCCTTTTACGATAGACGTTCTTTCGAATCGGTTCACGCGCGGTCCACTCGTGTCCATCTTCTCCACCAGCTTTACTTTCACCGGCGCCATGTCCCTTCACCGTGGCCCCGTCGATCTGCTACGAATCATTGCCACGAGGACCTTGCCTTCGATAAACGCGCCAGCCGAATGATCTACGATGATAGATGGGCAAGGCGAGTAAATACGTTCGAAGCAGTTTCACGAAGAAGCACGTATTCGATGCACGCAAAAATGATAACTAGGAGTGCGTGCCGTTCGAGAAAGTGCCCTTTCCAATGCGAGATCGGAGGTATCGGATGAAAGGAAACGCGAGTCGGAAATCTGAAATATATTTTCGGATCCTGTGCTTAAGGCTTTTCGCGTGAAATTTATCGAATCGCGATACCGATCATGATCATTAAGGAGAACCGCTTGGCGAAGAGTAAGAGCTGAATTTTCCCTGTTTTCGCTCGAGGCACGTCACTGGTACCTGCGTGAGAGTGAAGCGCAAGTATGTCGCTAGCTGAACCAGTCGGAAAATAGTGAAATGTGGCTTTTCTATCATGTAGCCGACGCACCGGTTCTGAGTCTGCCGTGCGCCTAGACCAATCCAGGGATTCTGCGTCTCGAGTTGCTCGAGCTTCTTCGTCGACGTCGTTTTTGACGTGGATTCGTGTTTATCCGTGCGTGTGCACGTGCGATCGCTGAAAAGTAGGACATGCTCGACGAGAACGGCACCCAGAACACTGCACCAACGCACCCGTGCACTTTCTTCTGTGTGGGTGTCGTTTTACACCGAGAATCGAACAAAGAATATAAGTTGTCGATATTCGCTATACGAATAATAGTTTCTTCGATTATCTTATTTTCGGTAAAGATACGAGTAAAAGTCAGGAAACAAGCGTCGCCGAATAATTTTATCTTCGATACTGCACGAGATACTTTCGGAAATCACAGATGTTTGCTTTCCTGGAAAGGTAGAAGTTTGCAAGCTCAGCCGCAGTTCCGGTTGCTCTGCTACGGTTCTTCGGTTACTTTAAGCCTTCTACGCGCGTTCAAAGACTACCGGATTGAGTTAAACTTTAAACAAAATTATAAGACTCTCCGTTTAATCCGAATTAAAGCTCTTAATCTCGATTTTACGCTACGTAGTTATTAATATAGCGAAAAGTGTAACAAATTGCTTTTGCTCCGAAGTTTATGATCCTCGTGAACAAAGCGACCAACGATTCGCTTTTCGTTCAACTATTTTCTCGAGTCGTAATTTTCTTGGAACAAGGATGATGTTATACGGATACCCTCGGTACCGTTACTGTCATAGGAACAAGGGCAAAGGAAAAGAGACCAGTTCCCTTATAAACCGTATTAAACCGGTCTACAAACGAGCAGTGACCGGCTTGCACTGTATATAACGCGTTGGATACTTTCCCAAAACGAACTAAAGTTTAGAAAGGAATTCGCTCATTTCGCCAGTGCTAGTCTTCGAGTAAAAGTGAAAAACATTTTAATAGCGACAGCTTATGAACACCGACAGCCAATGATAAAAATAACGTTAATAAATATCACCTCTGGAAATGCTAATTAATGTTTTGCAAAAGAAATTCTGTTTTTAAAGAACGATTCGTCGGGTGAAGCATGTTCCAACGAGTCTTTTAATTTCGTTAAGTTCATCCTTTAATCGAACGTGTCGTTCTCAATTTCGATCAGTCTAGGCTGTTGCTAATGGACTTGGCACAGTGAAAGCTTGTGAATACATTACATGCTACGTCTCCGATAAATCTGGAATTTATATTCCTCCGGGGATAATGTGGGATAGTCAGTCGAATACAAAAGAAAAAGTCGCTTTATTATAAACAAACGTTATAAAACTATGAAACAAACATCGCAATATCGATGTTACGGAATGTATACAATGGTACTCGAAGCAAATGACAGGAATATAAATACACAACGTCGCCTTAAATAGAGTAATTATGCTAGAAACGTAAAAGTATAAATTAGCGCGATGTCCTACGATCCTCGGACGTTTCGCTTGTACCCTAAAGATCGACTTGTCTAAAAGTGGGCCACGATTAGCGGTCAATTGAAATTTACGTTTGTCATGGAATCGATAGGAGATGCTTCATTCGATTCGATAACTCGAAAATTTAGTACTTTCCACTTGGACTGGAATACGAAATCGTATCGTATTTATTGCTGCCGGAATTCAGGCTGTCGTAGCTCTTTGCACTGGGATATGAAACGTATCTGGGACTCAAATTGGAATAGGAGCCGTGAGACTCGATGGGAGTACCGTACGAAGAAGAAGGAGCCGAGTAACTCGAAGAATAAGCACTGGAAGATCCAGAATAGCTGGAACTGGGACTGGAATAGCTGGAACTGGGACTGGAGTAGCTGGAACTGGGACTGGAGTAGCTGGAACTGGGACTGGAGTAGCTGGATGCAGGTGATGAATAGCTGGAGCCGGAGCCGGAATAAGTGACCGAGGGACTCGAATAACTGGAACTTCCACCTGAAGAGTATGACACCTCAGAGGAGGATGGGATGTAATTGGAATGCGAACTAGAAATTGATGACCCAGATCCGTAGGATCCTGAGGATGCAGGAAGAGAGTAACTAGAGCTGTCGGAAGATCCACCGGAAAGGCTTATGTGGCTGTTCGATGACCCAGACGAGATTGGTAGAGAATAACCGGCGGAACCGCCGGAACTGGAGGAGATGCTAGATAATCCGTGAGACCCCGAAGATATTGGGAGAGAATAGCTGCTGGCACCACCGCTAGAACCAGAGAGGCTTCCGAGGGACGAACTTCCGTGAGAGGAAGAAACGGGAAGACTGTAGCTGGAAGACCCTTTACCGAGAGAACTTGGGTCTATAACTAGACCTCCGCTCACCGAATAGGACGAACTCGGGGAGACAGATTGAATTGGCAGATTATGACCTCCGGAGCTACCCAGCGAACTCAAAGAGGATGCCGGCAAACTGTACGAGGAGCTGTGGCTGGATCCCAACATAGGAAGACTGATACTGTTTGAAGCACCACTGCTGTACGCTGACAATCCGTGAACTCCCGTTGCGTAGACTGGCGTTGAATAACTATTGGAACTGCTAGCAGCCACGCCGCCTCCGTGGATGCCAAATGTGACTGGCCCATTCTTCGAGGATGGATTAAAGAGACCGATACTTCCTCCACCACCGACGGAACTCTGCGAGCCATACGAGGATTGACCAAGGTGTCCTCCTACGGAGAGTCCTTGGAGAGCCAAACCGTGACCAGAACCCAAACCATGTCCTCCAGATCCCAGCGAATATCCCAAGGAACCGTGTCCCAAGGATCCGCTTCCCAAACTTTGGATACCTGCCGAATGTCCCAAGGAGTATCCTCCGAGAGATCCACCGTTATACCCGGAGCTTAGAATGGGAGAATTGTAGGATGATCCACCGGATGAGTAGCCTCCGGAAAATTCAGCTATGCCACGCTTGCCTTTCAGCGGTAGTCTCAGTGGGCGTATAATATCTCCTTTTGTTTCTCTACAGGAAACGCTCGAAACAGCCACGAAAACCAGGACCAAAAACCCCTATAGAACGATAAAGCAAATAAAAGTTTCATAAATATTGTATAACGATAGCGAAGAAGGTATTAGCGAAAAGATAGTATTCTCAGATGAGCAAAAACGAAGGTAAAACGAAACTAAAATCTCTCTGATACACTTACGAATGATTTCATGATGATCCTAAGTGAAATTATTCTGTATGCGACTTCTCGTGGTGTAGCAACAACCGGGTATGTGAGTGAAATTGTGGTTTCTGATGCCATTGCTACTCAGAAGAGACCTTTTATATACAAATCCCCTCTTACATGGTGAAAGAAAGGTCTAGGTGAAGGTGAGTCTCCCCATGCTGGTAGTAGTGCACCACCACCTGAGCAAAATCGTATCCCAGAAGATCGTAGTCTAATTTATCATGGTATGTAAAATTTGCAAATGAGACTGTCGTGCGTGGTAAAAGTGCCCAAATCGATACCATCGGGCTTTGTTTTTCACACGCTGAAACAGACATTTCCTTTCGATTCAGTCGATCATCTCTTACGAAAAGGAGGAAGAAGACGGTTTTCTTTTGCGAGATCGGACATTGATAGCAGCGGTTACAAAGGTAATTAAGACGTACGAATACGATTCTTCTCAGGGTTCTCCGTTAGGGAATCACGTATCGTTCTATCGAAATGTAACACGACTACGTCTCGCTACATCAACGAATCGATCTCCTTATCGAACGCGATAGTTTCGAAAGCGTACATACGTTCTCAACCATGACACGCTTGTTATTAAATAATTTCGTGACAATTCGCTACCAAGCAGCGGGAGATTAAACTACTTAGAGATTAAAATTTCTTCTCGATTCGTTGGATAATTCACAGACGTCGAGAAGACATAACTATCGTTGCATTCTTGCCAAGTTTACCAGAGCTTCCTATGACAAGCTTTCTTCTTTTTCCGTCAAACAAAAACGGAAGGGAGAATATTCTTCCGCCTTTTGTGGATACAATTATGATGCGCTATGACACGAAAGGAGCAGTAAAGCTGTGGTTCGTGTAACCAATATACTCCTCCTTCGGAAGCCACTGAAAGTAATTTCGATGTTGGAAAGTGAAATGCAGCAATTGTGAGCAAAAAGTGACGAAGATTTAGATGTTCTTGTCTTTCTATTTTTATGGAGCATAATCGTATCGTTGACAAAGGAATTAAGAGAGTGGCAAAAAGGTAACTATGAGTAGCCAGTGGCAACAAGTAAAAAGTCAAAGTAGCAACCGACGTCTTCCATCCGGTGTGTCCACGATCTGCAACAGCTGAAACCACCGATTGATTTCGTTTTACTTTCACTCATGGTATGGAGGAAACCCATCGTTACTTTATCCTTTGGGCTGCTCGAACGAAATTCGAAAACAGGCAGACATGCCGATCTTTTCCTCATTACGTCACACGATATATTTATTTATCCGACTTTGGAATAAATCGAGATAGCAATACATTAAAAACGTATTTATCTTTCTCGCGACGAGTAACAATGAGAGAGCATGATATCGCGAGAATCATATTAATGATTCAAAATTATATAGAATTGGTTAAATGAGCTGTGCATAATCGCTAACTGAAAGATGTAATAAATATCGATTACGTTCCATGGAAATAAATGTCTGAGGATATATTCGCCGGTAACTCGATTAAATATACGTAATTGCAAACGTTTCTGAAACTTCCACTGCCTTCTAAATGGCCGTGGAGAAATATGATGTGAACTAGCATTCTAAACAAAGAAAGCGAGATGTTTTCCTGGTCTGAAACATATCTGCGGGAACTGTATCATTTGCATAGAAAATAGATCCATAAGCCGATAATTAAGCTTTCTATCAACATATCGCAACGTTCGCATGACATTCCATGCATCATACGTTACTCGTTTAAATAACGCGATCATTTGGATTTTAATAAACACAAAAACGAAGAAGACAGGAATTAATTATCTCCAGTAATTTACGGCGCGCAGAACGAACAAAATTTTCATTGTTCCCTATAATTTCAACAATAATAGCCGGAGTACGAATAAACGCGTATAAATATCAACGACTCCGAGCAACGAAAGATGTTACGAACTTACTGGTTCTGCTAATATTAATTAGTATTACTTGCATTGTTAAGCAGAGCAAGAGATTGGGCCTAGCTTATTTTCCGCTAGTTCAGTTTCTAGATTTCTCAAGATATAAACGGTTTTTTCGAAAAAGAAATCCCGACTGGACAGGTCCGAAGTAAAACGGTAAAAGTGCACGAGGTGCACTAAAACGAAAAGTAGAATGAAATTCGGGTCAGTCGCGGAAAGTGAGTTGGCAGCGAGTTTCCTATGTGAATCGTGAAGCAGCGGACTTTACTTAAGTCGTCCCTTTATAACAGCTGGCTCCTTTTCTTTCTTTCAGCCCGCAACTTACGGAAAATGAAGTGACCATCCACCTCGGAAGCAATTACACCTGTTCTGTATTTGTAGAAATCTAGTACGTTTAGCGGTATAATCGTGTACGTAACCCGGCCACGTGATTCTTTGATAGTACTTTGTACCTGCATTGCGCCACGATATAACATCGTTACCTTTCCGAGGTACAGCTCGCTTATCAGATACGACCGAAAAAACCAGTCTGCATTTTAACGGTAAAATAATCTTCGCGAAATTACAATGAAACGTATAAATAAACAAATGGAAATTAACGATAAACGAGCCAAAATTATGGAGAAATACGTTAGCAAAATAAACGCATATGCAAATAAATTTCAGATGCATCCTTGCGGAAGTTTAACGTTTCGTAAACATATTTCGATTAAAATACGTTATTAATAATCATCGGCATATCGTAAAATATGCGACACGATGTTAGAGTGAGGTACGATGTATCGAATAAACTGTAAGGCTATTAGCGACGCCTCTTATTTAACAAAAACGTGTTACAAGATTATGTAGCCGAGGATAAGATACACACCTGGTCGCGACGAACGTATTATGTATGCTTAGGAATATCCGAATAATCTGGTCAACGATAAAATGATCGTGATTAGAATTATCGAACGACTTTCGAGGTCACGTTCGAGCTGCGACAGATCGGTTGGATGCCCATTAAGCCTTCGGTGAGAGTTCCTTGGTATAGGTTTACGGGCCGGAAATGGAGACAGTTGGTTTTCTAGGGTGTACTTTCTTTGACAGCGAAACGAGCACGACGCT